TAAGCCGGGCACAGAAAGAGAAATAGCACATATCCTCACTCGTAAGTGGGAGCTAAAAAAATAAACAAATAAAAGTTTATGGGAAGATCACTTTATCTTTTAATTCTATTTTCCATGAACTTTTTGAAGTACCCTCATATTAACATACAGTTTATTACTAAGATAGAACATGAAGAAAAGTTTGCAGCACAAGCTTTTCATTTTTCTAGTATCACACACTCCTAGAAGTTCATGGCTTTCACAAGCATCAGATTTATTCAGTTTTATCAGTGAATAAAAATGTATTTTAAAAGGGCAGTTTTCATTTCTCTTTCTGTCTTATTTATATACTTATTCCATAGTTTTTCACTTGTTTATTCAAGTAGCACTATAAAAAAAGCAATCATTTGTGTTTCACCCATTTTTAAGTAATAAATATTAGTTGTGTCCCATGACCCAAGAACTGACTGTGTGAAAGATACTGAGTGTGGAAAGATGAAAAACACAATGTCCATGCCTTGGGGGGACAGGGGGGAGGAAATAGCATAATGTATTTTTAAAATGTGACTAGAACATAGAAATAACAACAGAAATAATAGAGTTAAAAAGACATGAAGAGAATCCTGTGGTCACAGATGATTCTGGAAATGATTTGGGTCCCTGTAGCTTGTGTGCTATTCAAAGGAATTTGAACCTTCTTCTTTTTACTTTTTTTAAACCAGTGGCAAATAGTATATATTTACCTCCCGGTTACATTCTATTGCAGTCAGAGTTTCAGTCTAAGCTTTCTTCCTATTTAGGGTCCTCTGAATCATTCTTTTTTTTTTCTTTTTTGGAAGCTGGCAGGTACAGGGAGCCACTAAATGTCTGCAGCACAGGAATGCCTTAGATGTCAGAGTTTCAGTCTAAGCTTTCTTCCTATTTAGGGTCCTCTGAATCATTCTTTTTTTTTTTCTTTTTTGGAAGCTGGCAGGTACAGGGAGCCACTAAATGTCTGCAGCACAGGAATGCCTTAGATAACACTGGTGCTACGGTGAAGCCTAGGGACTAGCTGCATTTATATCTCTTATCAATAAGAGCTGATGAAAAGAGGAAGGAAGATTTCCATCAACCTTTTTTTTTTGACTTGTAAGGGATCGCAACCCTTGGCTTGGTGTCGTCTGCACCACACTCAGCCAGTGAGCACACTGGCCATCCCTATATAGGATCTGAACCCGCAGCCTTGGCGCTGCCAGCGCTGCACTCTCCCAAGTGAGCCACAGGGCCTGCCCTCCATCAACCTTTTGAGGGAGGCAAATAACTAATAAAAAATTACTGAAAGGCCTGCGAGTTCTCTGTATCTCTCAGTGCCCCTCTTTAAGAGGGACACCTGCTAACACCTAAGCTTTAACTTAATAAAGAAATTAACCTTTAAGAGAACTATTAACAGAGACACACTGGACAATTTCTCATAATGTAAGAGTTCCCTAAGTCTGTACTTTCCCTCACTGCAATCTCATTTGGCTTCACACTGTATTAAATGTTTGTAGGCAGTAAATCAATACATACAATTTAATAAAGACAACAATGAAGTATACCTAACATGAAGATGAAATAAACATTTTAATATGTATAAAGAAAAATATGCCAAATGATAAATGTGTGCAATACAAAAATACCTCCTTATTAATAACAGATAACACTAAGAATTATTTGGTACCATTTCAAACACTCTTTTAATGAACATGATCCCAATACTTTGATTACTAATTGCTAAGTTCTTTTAGCATTTTGACCTTATTTTGTTTTTATATTGTGTCTAGTTGTTCCTACACAAAGTCAACTTTATCGTTGCCCCAAGACATTTTTTAAATAGGATGAAAGTCTCAAAGGTTTTAACTATCTCAGTTAAATAGGAATTACTAGTATTTCTAACACTAATACTTAAAATTCTAATTATCATCTCAAATTGGGCTTTGGATTTTTTTTCATTTGAATCTCTCTTATATTCACTGTTTAAGTGATGCTCTGGAAATTGCACCTTTATGAGGCTATGTGCTGGGATTTATAATTTATCCAAACAAGGAAAAATAATTTAGGAAGCAGTTAGATAATTAAGCTGGTTCAAGTAAAGTGTTCTAAAACCTAATGGGCATGAATTAAAAATAAAATTTAAAAAAACAGATATCTCATTATCATTTCCTTTCTCAAACTCACAGAATGGCCATTTTACTATATGCCCAATAGCTTTTAAATGATTATAAGAAGTATCTTATTACTAATTTCTAGGACTACTGAAATCACTCCTGACATTAAAATTTACTGGAAACTCAGGATAGTTTTTACAATATATCATATCAACTAAATATGTAGGTTTTAGAAAAAATTCAAATCTGCAGGTATATGTTCTTACAAATTCACAATAACTATGGTGAATAAAATTACTATTATGTTGTGCTTTGAAAAGAGACGTCCACATTAGAGAAACAATCTCTGTAATGTTCTATTGGAAAGGAAAAACACAGTTTTTTATACCATTCTTTAAATATAATCCATATGGGAGCAAAGGCAAATGTCAAAAGAAAAAACCAAATCCTCACAAGGAGAAGCTCAGTGTGGGCTGAGACACCTCCTTTGAGGCCACACAACCTTAAAACTCACGAAAGAAATGCCTCTGTAGTTGCTTCTTCAAGGGTACAGTATGCCTTTACCATCTGTATGAATTCAGAGATAACTTGTGTGGTCCAGGAGACAGTGGATTTAGATGAACCCCACATACTACCTAGTCCAAGATTCTAGGGATATTGACTGAAGTGCAGCCTTTCTTTTCTCCAGGCCCTTGATGGTATGGCTTGGTCTGGGATCCCAGTCTCAGAATTTGCTTGATCTCACCCCACCACACTTCTAGGTCCCCTAATGATGGCAGCAAAACCTCTAGATTGATCTTAAGTTATGTAAATTAAACCTTCTCTCTTAATGTCTCTCCTTGCCATGCCACGGTTTGCTGTCACCAAGTTGGAATAATTCTACCTCTCAGTACTCAGATTGTAGGCTTAAACTGACTCTTTCCTGATAGTAAAACCTGAATTGAGCTGTGTGATTTCCCAACATGATTCCCTTCACTAGGCCACCAGAGCTTGGCAGAGGGAAGAAATCCTGAAACCCATAACCCTTTCTCACTTCTCATTTCTGACACTGAGGAAGAAAATGAAACATAGCATTTTCTTTTTTTTTTTTTTTTCCTTTTTGTCTTTTTTCGTGACCAGCAACGGATCGCAACCCTCAGTGTCGCGCCCGTACCAGACCGGGACCGGCAACGGGATCACAGCCAGGATCGCAACCCTCGGTGTTGCACCCACACCCCGCTCAGCCAGTAAGCGGCCGGTCTGTATGTGGGATCTGAACCCTCCGCTGCTACAGTGCGCCACTGGGCCGGCCAAAACATAGCATTTTCTAAGTATCTAAAAACTATGCAAAAAAAGTTTTCATTCGCTTAAAACTGCAGAAGAAATTATGACTTTCATACTATAGCATTATGAAAAATTGTCCAGGATCACATGTTCCCCCCACCCTGCCCCCAAGAGGAAAACTAACACAAAGGTGTGTTTGGGCACTATTTTACTTTGCTTCTACATTGACTAAATATTGGTAATGCAATATATCACCTTTATTCATATTTTTGTTATGAACACAAATTTTAAGTAGAAGATAAGATAGACTTGTCACAAGAAAATGAGACAATCTGTTTTTCAAGCCATAACTTTTAAATTTTAAGTAGAAGATAAGATAGACTTGTCACAAGAAAATGAGACAATCTGTTTTTCAAGGGGTACTTGCTTTGTAATTACAATATAGACATTTTGCCAAATGTTCTCAGACTCCCCAGTTTGATAAACGGTATTTCACTCCCTGTCTTTTTTTAAGACACTTTTACCTTTTCCATTGTTTAAAAAATATGTTGTTCTTAAAGGAGAACTCTAATAGAAAAATGTGCCACGTGAAATAAATAACAAAGCCTCCAATTCCCAAATTCGCTTAAACATATAAGGCTTCGTGACAACCTATCAATCTCATTATCACTGATAGTTTTTCTAATTATCAAGCAGCTATAAAAAGGTACAACATTTATTTCACTCTGAAAATTTGATGGAATAAGCACATAAAGAATAAAAGTTCCATATTAAACAAGCTTTCTCTGCATTGAAAGTGAGTCACGTAACAAAACGTAAAATGTAGAGATTAAACTAATGGTTTGAGATTAATCAAATATAATTGCTACATTCTAAAATCCATGAGAGTCAGGGATTTACAGGAAAAAGTCCCAAATGAGGGCTCTTCAAGGAGACCAGAAATGCCTCATGAAGTCATCATGGCTGAATAATACTTTGTCACACCTGACAAATGACCTGGGGCTTGAAGATAATCTCAAGCATATTTTTTTATGCTTATATTTGCATACCTCCCAGGAAATTTTAGTCTTTCTGGAATCCCTAATAAACATTGCTAACATAAAACAATAATTTTTACTATCAGACAACAGTGTAAATGAAACTAAGAAAAATATACACTGCACTTGAAAATGTCCACACGAAAATAACAATTTCTAGATTAACACCACATGCTCCCTTTTTGGTGATATTTTGGTTTGTGTGACTTCTTAACCTCAAAGCGACACATAGATGATCTTTATTTTACTTTGTATTGTCCAGATCTGAATAAAGAGGAAATACATTTCTTGAGTTTTCTTTAATCCCTCTCTCTTTCTTTATCTGCTCTATAACAGCTTTAAAATGAGCCCATCACAGTAGCTATGTTGTAATGGATAAGCCATCTCTTATCAGCATTATTTGGAATGACTTGACCTAAGCAAAGTAATTGTCTGCATCTCTGCACCACAGAGGTTGGCTTCTTCCCTTCCTATTGATCAGTGATTCATTCTTACTCAATCAACATTCAGACTTTCTACCAAAGCATGAATCCTCTTATCCTGCATTAGCTCTTTAGCTAACATTATAATTAACTTCATGGTAAGATCAACTTACCTGGCACAAACCCTCTCTTGGATCTGCCATTCTGAATAGGCATTCCATTGCTTTCACTGTTGCATGGTATTTAATCTCTGTTGTGGCCTTAATGACTCCATCACAGTAGATGTCGACTTTGACTGAGCCAGCAGGAAAATCTTATGAAACACAAACAAGAGTTAGGAGATGAGTACATAATACATATATTATGATATCTTTTGGAGAATATGAAGGAAGCCTTTAAAAATTCATAGAAATTTTACTAACCTCTAGCACTTAAAGTGGTTTTTTTATCCTCAGTGGTTAGAAACCACAAAATGAAATGTATGATTTTAGACATATTTGTTTTAAAAACTTAAAAGATAAACACAAATGTTAAAATTATAATAAAAGCAAAGCACTAAATCCTTTCTCCCTACTTACTAACGCCCGGTTTCTGGTAGTAATCTATAATAATCTTTACATAATACTTTAGAATTGAGAAAAGTGCAGCCTTTCTTAAAAGTTAGATGTTTGTTATTAATTTCATGAAAAAATTCCAATTAATTATAGGTAAGTTTCTTAAAAGTGTGTTTGAAAAGAGTAGAGTCAATTGAAATTACAGAACTGTATTCAATTGATTACAATAAAAAACCCCCGGGAAGGCAAGGTTTAATACTCCCGAAACTTAAGTAGTATTTATACGACACATTCACCATACAATTTTGTGAACAAATTGTTCAAAGTGACTAATATACTGCATTATAAATTCTGCTGTAACATACCAACAGAGGTAAAGTTATACAAGAATTTGGTGCTTTCCATGAAAGATTATTTAACAATTATTTAATGATATCAATAGAAAAGTTATTGTGTTTTACTGTAACAACAACAAAAAAAAAAATTAGCTTCTTAAATTCATCTGTAGGCCAAACCTTAAAAGCTTTCAGTCTGTCACAAAGATATTTCCCAAATTCTTCTGGAAAGCTGTCACCCAAACATTTGGGGTTTGGAATAAGTCATTTAATAAGACCAACAGCTTTGAATATTTAAAAGCTCCTAAGGTTCAAGCATTAATTTTACTTCATCTTATGAAGAGGTTAAAGGACCTCTTACAATGCTCAGGGAAATTTAAAGTCAACAAAAGCAACCTTAAGCTTGAGTAGGTCAAGGAGCTGAAATTTCCCCCTCCCATATTGTTTGATTAGACACCTAAACTCTATTATAAAGATGTACAGAGAAAAATAGAAGCACTCTCTTCTCAAAGAGGAATCTGCCCAGTAGAGAAGGTAAGAGGAACCACGACAAAAATGACCCTAAAAATAGCAGAGCACATCTGACCAGCTACAGCAGTATGCATACAGTAAACAGGGTTCTAGAGTTACTAGGGTCAAATGAAATCAATTTCAGTAGATCTTATAAAGACAATTTTTTTTTTCTTTTTGTCTTTTTTCGTGTCCGGCAACGGATCGCAACCCTCAGTGTCACGCCCGTAGCGGACCGGGACCGGCAACGGGATTGCAACCCTCGGTGTAGCGTCCGCACCTCGCTCAGCCAGTGAGCGGGAACCGGTCTGTATGTGGGATCCGAACCCTCGGTGGGAGCGCCGCCGCACTCCCAAGCGGCGCAATGTAGCAGTGCGCCACTGGGCCGGCCCATAAAGACAATTTTTTAAATTAAAAAAATTTTTATTTTATTGCGGTAAGTCATAAAAATGATTTTGAAAGAAGCTCTTGATTTTGTTTATCAGAAAAGAGATTAGAAGTGTTACCATGGGGAGTTATCCTTCTTAAAAAAAGTCAGGCAATGAATCATGAGAGCTATATGGTAAGAAGATTTGCTTGGTGGTTCTCTGACACAGAACGCTTAAAATATTCCATTCTCTTTATAATCTAACATGAAACCAGAGTGATTTATTCCTGATATATTGAGTCATTAGTTGACTCAAAACTTTACCAGTGGATCTACTAATAATGATGGTGATTTTAGAGTAATCCTTCAAAGAGATGTCCTTTGAAGTATTGTATTTGCTATACATTTTCATATTGAGTGGCAGTTATTAATTAAGACCTAATTACTGTTTCTACCTATATATACAGAGAGGACCCCTTATGAATTCATCTGGGTAGGAGGCCCTCCTTAATAGTATATTATTGAATTAGCTGTTTCATAAAAAGTACCCTGTACTGCATGAGCATCATTTTTCTTTAAATTTGGTTCACCATGATGAATATATTTAACAGCTTTTCCAAAAAAATAATAATAATAATAATAATAATAATTTAAAGACTCAAATAGAAGAGAGTAAAAGTAAATTCTGTTGTTTGCCATCTTCACTAAAGTAGGCAAGTACATCTAACTCTGAAAGCATAAACAAATATAGGTCAAGATCACCAAAGCAAGCAAAGGTATCACAGAGAGTCAGCTGTGAAGAGGAAAAAAGACATACAAGGGAAGGAAAAAATGGAACTCTTTACCTTCATCACAAATAGAAACACAATAAAGTACACTTACAGAGAAGTAAGGATAAAAAGGAATTTTATTTAAATCAAATCTCAAATTCCAGGCCATTCAAAAGTCTTTTTCATCATTCCCTTTCTCCATGATTTAAGTGATCTGTTCTCCCAGATGAAGAACAAACTAAAGTGATTTATGCAGAATATAATCCACAGGTATTTCCAAAGAGTCAGAATTCTTCACTAACTCCATTAAAGTAGATATTTCACAAATCCATTAATTTAAGAGCTCTTTTGCATGTATTTCCATTGTCTGAGGAGCTGTGTCCCTTTATGAACCAATTTTCACTCTTTCCCATATGATATACATTAAATGAACCCACCTAGTGTTTCCATGAGAACTGAAATCAACATGACTCTGTTTTGATTAGAACATTATCATTAAATAAAGACAGATGGCCTCAAAACCTTGGTCATGCCCCCAAATTAATATCAATTTAAAATTTGTTAAAATTGTTTTCCTGAATTATAATATGTAGAAAAATATATTATTAATTGTTGTTATTTTCCTGAGCAGAGTCAGCATAATATGTGGCATATCCTGAAGTACTTTTTATGCTCTTTTAATCAAATATGAAGTTATAATTTACATTATCCAGAGCACTGTGTCTTAATTAATAAAGAGATTCTATATCTTTGTGAGTACATTATGCATTCCTTTCAACTTTTAATTGATCGCCCCCTGCTGTGTTCAATTTTCTTTCTGGCTGTGTTATAGATACCAGAGGAATACCCTCTTCTTTCTGTGTAAAAATTAGTTAATATTTCTAGTTTAAAGATTTCACATATATTTTCATAAGTTTTGACATAAGCTGAGATTATAGTATCTTCAAATTCCTTTAGCACAAAACAGTCCCTGTCAGAAACAAACCTATGGATGCCATTATGAAGGTGGGGTTCTCAGAAAGTGAAGTAAATAAGTGTATCAAGTTATTGAGTTGAAAGCCAAGAGGAGATGTCAAAACTAGAGGATACTGTCTCAAATAAAAAAGTCAGGTTAAGATGTCAAAGTATGTCAGAAGGAAAAGATGTTACTTAGAAAAAGAACACCTTAAGATTTCCTCACTGGTCAGCATAATGTACTTTAAACATAATTTTTGTTTATCTCTGCAATGTTACCAAGTAAAAATATCTGGCACTGGTGCTATCTTTTATGGAAGCTCAATAACTAATGTTTTAATTTCTTTAAGAAATAGACTCATTCATATCATCCATTTCTCCTTGTGTGAGTTTTGGTAGTTTATGCCTCTCAAGGAATTTGTCTAAGTTATCAAATTTATATGCATACAGCTGTTTGTATTACTCTTTATTAAAAGCAATAACCCACATATTAGTCCTGATACTGATAATTCATGTCTCTTCTTGGTTAGCCTGGCTAACAGTTTAGCAATTTATTGATCTTTTAAATGAAACAGGTTTGGATTTTTTTCTTTTTCTTTTTTTTTCTTTTTTGACCAGTAAGGGGATTGCAACATTTGGCACGGTGTGATCTGCACCACGCTCAGCCAACCCTATGTAGGATCCGGCCTCAGCGCTACCAGCGCCGTACTCTCCTGAGTGAGCCACAGGGCTGGCCCATTTTTCTCTCATTTTTAATTTCATTGTTTTCTGCTCTAAGTTTTATTATTTGTTTTCTTATGCTTGCTTTACACTTGAATTGCCAATCTTTCTCTGGTTTCTTAAGGTGGAGGCATAGATTAATGATTTTAGATGTTTCTTCTTTCCTATTATAGATGTTTAGTAATAAAATTTTCCTGTAAGTACTGTTTTCTCTGCATTTCATGAAATTTGGTAAGTTATATTTTCATTTCAAACAAATTACTTTTAATTTTGCTTTTGAAATTTTTCAACATTTGTTTTTTAATCTCCAAATATCTGGAGATTTGCCAACTATCTTTCTGTTATTGATTTTTATTTCAATTCTGTTGTGGTCTGAGAACATATTTTGCATGATTTCTATTCTTTTACATTAAAGTGGTTTTTGTTTTGTTTAAGGTCTAGCATGTGGTTTATCCTGGCGAATGTTCCATGTGAGTTTCAGAAGAATGTACATTCTACTATAGTTGAATGATATATTAGTCCATTTTTGTGTTGCTATAACAGAATACCTGAGACTGGGTAATTTATAAAAAACACAGTTTTATTGGGCTTATGATTCTGGGACAGCTGCATCTGGTGCAGGCCTCGGGCTGCTTCTACTCATGGTAGAAAGCAGCAGGCAGCCGGCAGGTACAAACAGATCACATGGCGAGAGGAAGCAAGAGAGAGAGAGAGGGGAGGTGCCAGGGTCTTTTAAACAACTATCTCTCAGGGGAACTGATAGAGCAAGAACTCACTCACTACCTCCACCCCTCAGGGAGAGCATTAACACATTCATGAGGGATCCACCCCCATGACTCAAACAGCTCCCAACACTGCCACATTGGGGATCGGATTTCCATATGAGTTCTGGGAGAACAATACATCCGAATTCCATTAGATGGAGTATTTTAATAAATGTCAGTTAAATCAAGTTGATCAATAATACTGTTCAGGTCAACTATATAGTTACTGATATTCTGTCTGCTACATCTATCAATTGCTGAAAGAAGGGTGTTCAAATCTTCACCTAGAATGGTGGACTTGTCTATTTCTCCTAATATCACCTTTTGCTTCACATATTT